GCCAGACCGTGTATATATCTGGGATTTTTTTCGTGCTGGGGGGGGGGGGGTTGGGGGGGGTCATCAGTAATTTCCGCCCCTCGGCCTGATCCTCGCAGACAGGATTTCATTCCCAGCTGTCTGCAGGTTGTCCCCAATTGCGAGGCGCGGTGCAGCTGCAGAGTATGGAATGCGCCTCAATCCCCCCACTGCCCCCATGCACTGTTGCGGCGGGATGCTGCTCCATCTCCGTATCTGCTAACCCGCATGCAGCATTAGCCCCTGAAAACAAATGCAATTCCCGACAGTAAATTTCAACATCCCTCTACAGTGACAAGACCCTGGTTGCACTGATTTGTACGCCTGTGTGCATGTGCGTGTTCTGGGATTAATTTGACTCACGATGCGGACTGGCAGCAGACTCATTCCTGCTCGTGAGCACTTTTACTTATGGATGGTCAGTATGCCCGTAGCGGCATCTGTCGGCTTCTATCAGTGTAATTCCATGCTTCCTGTGCCGTGTTTGATCGGTGTGGCGCTCTGCCAGACTGGAAATCCGCTCCTCTATGATGGTGCTTGTTGAATGAGAGGACAGCTCATGTCATGTTTCCAACATCGTGATGGGCAGGGACACAGTCAAAGAGACAGACTGTGATATTTTTGTTTCTCTATTACAACCAGGAGCACAAATCCAGGTAGCGGCATAGTTTACTAGTTAAAAGTTTACTTTTTACTCAAAGTAGTTTGTTTCTGAAGCACCGATTTCACAAGGCAGTATGAAAACACCATCGGGTAATTGCAAGAAAATGCACAAATGGCAGCCGATATCAGTTAAATTCGAAGAACCTGAAATAGCCCCTTCCCTCACCTCGCTCTGCTAGAAAGAATTGCATGTTAATTTCACTAATTATTTAGCTATAGCTCTAGCTGCGGGTGACTGAAATGTTCTGAGCTGTAGACTCCAGACACTAAACACTTTCTTCACTTTGGACAGACAAACTGAGAGAGAGCCCTGCCAAAACATAAATAAACGATTGCACTTGTGTGCTTAATACTCTGTTATTTTTTCTTTTACAATGTGTACAGAATGTGCAGTATACACATCATTTCTATGGTCTTCGTCCCTGACGGGTCCCTCGTACGGATGAATGCAAACTGCACGCTTTGTCATGGTTTATCGTGGAAATATGGTGGTGGAAACAGTCCTGGAGGTAAAGCTTTGTGTGGCTCAACAATGGACAGAGTGAACCTTTCATTTCATCACTCCCCACCCCCCCAGTGAACCGCATGCTTTCCTTGCCATTACGCTTCTACTACTGCCATGGATCTTAACATTTCTCTGTCAAAACTTCACTGCGTGATCAATACCTTTGGAGATGCTCCTGGAGAATATGGTGGGAGCTACCCACTTTGTGCTGGTCTTCCTTGGGGGAGGGATTTTTTTGACCTAATGGGCCTTTGAAGGCTAGTGGACGCCTTTCTCTGATGGCAGGCCACGAAGACACTGTGTCCTTCTTCTTTATGGCTCTGCTGGGGAAGTGGACCATACGCAGGTGCTGAGGCGTCCAGCACGTGTAGAAGTTATGTCCTTGTTACCGGCAGTGGCTGGTGGTACATCAAGCAGTGACCATGACGCTCTGAAGGGTTTCTTCTCCCAGGATTCATCCTTGGCTGGGGTCCACAGCTTTCAAAGAGGTGGGGGGGGGGGGCAGCAAGGTTTAAATATAGCCTTTCCTTCGGAACCGGAAATCCCATCTCCACCAAAGCCGCGCAAATCCCTTTGCTCCTATGTGTGCGCATGTCACTGTAGCTTCACCTGCTAATTAGTAGAAGCAGAGCCCTCAAATTTCTTCCGCTAGGGGAATATCGTACGTCATTCGCACTTTTGTACAATACATTCGTACTCAAGCATTTATCCTTCTCACCCTGTGCGCTGTTTGTGTGCAAGTGCGTGCTTGTGTATGTCGGGTTAGACATACGAGGATCACACTGACTTGAGGGACTGTGCCCTGAGATTTATTGATATATCATTTTGTGTATTCAAATTTACTGGCTTTTAGGGATCCTAGCTTTTTCAGACCAAACGGCGCTTTGTGTCTAACTCTTGAAATCTGCATTTAGCAGGTCCAGGAAGGAACTGTGGTGACTATACCCTCATTTGGTTTGATCCTGCTAAGGTCCAGCATAGATTTCCCCAGCTGAACACATGTTGAGGGCAGGAGTGTGATGTGGACACAGTCAGCTTTAAACCCCAAACAAAGGCTCTTGTGTCTCTATAAACTGCCTCTTTCTGTATCTTTCTGCAACTGTATCTTTCTCATTATTGTCTCCACATTTCCCTCCACAATTAAACCGCGCCGTCGGCTCCCAGGCCTTCAGCACTGCAGTGGGGATTTCTTAATTTAGACTGACAAGGCTTAACTGAAGTGTCTCACAGTGTGCAGTTAAGATCAGGAAGCGCGTGTTGCATTTTACATACTTCCTGACAGATAAGCCCCTGAATCTATCAGTCGCATGGAGCATGATTATTCTTGGCATTTAGATGGGACAACAGTTTTTGAAAAGCTTTCTTTTAAACCACACCATAGCATTACTATGTCGCTTTCTTCCTGGTGATGCCTTATACTGGCGCAGTATGGTGGCTCCACTGGTAGCACTGCAGTCTCCCAGCTATGAGGTCAGGACAGACCCATAGCCAGAAATAGATCTCCCTGTTACATGCCTTTCCAAGGACGTAGATTTGGTGTAATGCTGATAAGGACCAAATCAGCCCCGATACCCGCTCCCCAAATACAGACAGTAGTCCCACAATATTGGTAAGGATGTGTCCCTACTGTTCATACCCAAGCTGTCATCTCTAAATCCCCCGTTGGTGTGTCTGTGATGGACTGTCATCCCGTCCAAGGTGCTCCTCTGCTTGGTACCTTCTGCTTACCTGCATTGACTCCATACCCATCATGGTCGCGTGATTAATTCCACAATGAGCAGGTGGGAGAGCCCAGTCTGGCCAGTGACTTACAGCGACATGCGACCTTTTAATGGTCGGACCGTTTGAGGGAGCTCCGGTCAGTTTTCACCCCTGTCTGTATTGAGCCCATGCTGTTGGTTTCTGTAGGCCTTGGCACATTATGATGTCAGATCTGGCCAGAACAAACACTGCACATTGTCTCTGAGACAGAAACATGCCAGCAAACTAAAAATACGCCTGGCTTTTTGAGTCCTGTTTCAAGAACACCTTTGTGCTGGATGTTCTTGCATCCAAAGATGGAATGAAGGGAACTTGAGAATGTAGCATTTGTTGTGACTAATCAAAGGGCCCATGAGCAAATCGAAGCCAGACGGTCTTGGGTGTGCTAAAGCATTTATCAATCAACCCCTTAACAGAATTCATGGCTCGGCTGGTCCAGTGAGACAGTTTTTTCCTGGGTTTAATCTTAAAATGCATACTGAGTTTTTCCAGACTGCTTATTCCAAACTCCATTTAGATATATTTGTACAATTATAATTGTAAGGCAATTAATCATTTTCTTTGCAGAGAATAAGCCTGGGTTTTTCAAGACCAAATTATTGGTAATTCCAGGGTTATTTGCGTCCCACCCCGAGTGCAACTACTGGGATGGTGTTTTTTTTTTTTGTCCAGGTCATTCTTCGCCACGATGAAACCTGATTGGTACACATGGTGGTGGGCGGGACTTACAGAGATCAAAGTGCTATTGGCTATGGCCATTGGTCCGGGTGAGGGTAATGAGTCCCAAGGACATCGAATCACTGTACTGCTGTATCAGCACGTAACTCCTGATTGGCCAGCTTGCTGGTGTAGTGCTACTCAGGACATGATGTCAGCAGCCCCTCACACTGAGAGGAGCCCAGGAGGGACCCATCTGATGTTGGGCTTGTTTTTCTTCTGACTTTCTGGACACCTCTGTCATCTTGTCAGCCACAAAAGCTGTGGTCTTTCCCTCAAATGAAATTGAATTTGAAATAGTTTATTTTATTTAGGCTGCGGTTGTGATGAAATGATTCCCCCTGTGTCAGTTGAACAGGGTCCACATACCCGTTGAGGCCGCCCACTAAATGTCCGTTTCTCTGTTTCTGTCTGCCCCTGCAGAGTGTATGAACTGCACCAGCTTCACAGACTTGAGTGAAAGACTGAGCACTGTTGAGTCCAAGGTAATTTTTGGGATTACACCAGGCCGGCTGCTGCGTGTCAAACGTTACGTGAGCAGGCAGCCAAATGGGACAGAGAGCATTCGAGCATGTCTCTGGCTTCGGAAAAAGACCCATCAAAAGGACGATCCAGTCCTGAACACAACAACAGAGGTGGAAAGTTCAGGTTCAGAAAATACAAATCCAGACCAAGATTTTGTTTCAACCAACCAGTTGAGCATAAAGAGTCACAATCACTGGTTGGTTGAAACAAAATCTTGGTCTGGATTTGTACTTTCTGGACCTGAACTTTCCTCCTCTGTGCAGCAAACCATGAAACAGGGTCCCTTTCTTCACTAGATTCTGTTGTTGAGGGAGACCTTGCCAGCTACCACAGCAGTCAACCGTCTGCACGAGGGATCGACCGATAATGAGGTGGGCTCACCCAACCCCACGCCCTTAGGACCCCCCATGGTCGGACTTCCAGGTGAGAGGGTGTATTTAATCAAACGCGTGCAGAACTGACTGGCTGCTCAGAATGTTTGATACTGCAGACAGGCTAGGGGTCCACTTCTTTATTGAGTTATTTAGCTGCTGAGTGAGCGACAATTTTTTAATTGATTTAGAAAAATACACACTCCACATATTGTAGATCCTAGCAATGCTTTTTCAGATTTGACTAGGAGAATCTAATCTGATTTAATCACATTACATAAAATGAGCCCAGCGATTGACTCATATCCTGTTCAGGGTGTCCCCTGTCTTATGTTCTGTGCTGCCTGGGATTGTCTGGGAAGGAAGGGAGGAAGTATATAATAATATGTGTTATGTATATATACACATATTATATTATAGAAAAGTTTGCGTATCCCATCTTTTATTGAGTTTTATTGAGTAATGAGCCAGACTTCAGAACACATGTAACTGAGACTTTATAGAAATGACTTAATTCATTTGCTGTTTCTCTGGTACTAGCTGTGTGTGCTGCTGTCGTCCCCCAGGTCTCCGAGGCCCCCCGGGGCCAATGGGGCCCCCAGGTGCTCCCGGATCAGCTGGACCTCCTGGCCCCACAGGAGAGTCGGGCCCCACTGGAAAGTTTGGCCCCATGGGACCTAGAGGTGAGAATCCAGCACCCCAAATCTGGATGCTCACCGGTACTCAGGCACAAGCCTAAGTCACATGCCCCCCCCACCTCTGGACATTAGCTCACTATAGGAATATAGTAAAGCAGCATCAGCCCATAATACTGACACATCCCCACCGATCTGTGTCCCTCGCCCTTTATTACAGCTGTGCTGCACATCTCAGTTTATTTATTCTGCAGTATAATTTTTCCTTTTTTTAATTTTTGCTTTCAGTATAACTATTTTTCGGTATAACTATTGTTATTTTTCTTGTTTATTTATTTTCATATGGCTACTTGAAATGTCTTTCTTCTTTCACTCCTTATATGCTGGAGTTGCCCAATTCACATTTAACTCCAGGTCCACTCTGACACAATACCTTGCGTGTGATAAAGCCTTGAATCTTTGAATCCAATTACATCTTGGCATTTTTAGCCCCATGAGAATATGCTCAGGCTCACAATCCCTCATCATGCCCAGTTTGACCCAGTTTGTCACAGATACCAGCAGCCAGTCTCTCTTACTGTACCTCTAACATACAGTGGTGCATTTCCTAAAGGGTCCCATGTGCGACTTAGATAGTTGGACTCATTCAGTTGTGACTATGCTTTTGTGAAGCCCATCCCTGGTGGGTATCTTCAGTGTCTCCTAACGTCTCCCCCCACAGGACCCCCGGGTCAGAGAGGACCCCAGGGAGAGATGGGTCTACCTGGGCCGCCTGGGCCACCAGGCCCGGCCTTCCCTTACCCCCTCCGCGGTGACACGTTCGGCCTGAACACTAGGCAGCTGGGCCAGGGTGAGCGGGTTTACACGCAGTTTATGAATGTGTTCCGGTGGGCAACAGACACCATAACAAAAGGGGCTGTATGGTCCGGCTGGCAGGGCTGCCAACGTTGGTCAGCTGACCGAACTAACATTTTTAATTTGAGGCAAGTCTGCACACACATCCACACACATTTACATGCATGTAGTAGTTTTATTACCTTGTAAATAGTCTGTAGAGTTTGCAAACTGCACCAGCGATTTTGATGTAGCTAAGTTTATTATGGAATAATTTAGATTTGCTGTAAGATTTCTTGCGTGAGCATGAGAGTCTGAAAGTGTGAGTGTCACGCCAGGCGTGTGAGAGCTGGCAGCGCTGAGCTGATGTGCCACTGGCTTCATATTTTTAGGCCTTTTCCTTTATTTGTGACTGTAATAATAGTGTAGTTACGACAATATTAGTGATGGTTTCTATGAAGTTACCTTTCAGGGAGGGTTGAGCCAGGATGGGGGGGGTCTGTGTGTGGATTTTGTGCTACATTAAGTGTAAAGAGAAAGAATTATGGTGTGAGGGGGACAGCAGTGAAGTTTTGGCTTCATCTCGGGAAAAAGTTTTGTAGAACGAGAGACCCCCGAATCCTTTATGTGGACCGTAACGATCCGAGGCATCTCTGTGTGCTAGAGAAACGTGCCGTGTCGAGCATGCCGGCTGCATGGCGGTCCCCCCTCCAAACCTGCCAGTGGGGGGGGGGGGCACCCGGCTCTCGTTAAGAAGCGTGCCTCTGCGACTGGCCCCCAGAGGGCCACGCGGCCCCCTCTCGCCCGCGCTCTTCGCGAGCGGCTCAAGGGGGGCAGCAGCTCGTGAAAAGCCAGATGGTCCGTGGCGGCTCAGCCCGCCCCAGACCAACGTAAATGCCCACAGCGCTGACAAAACGGGGGCCGGTCAGAGAGAGCCTTCTCACAGAAACGACACAAAGGCTGTCATTCAGGAAAAGGCAGTTTCGACCTCAGCTTCGGAGGATGATTGAGTTTTATAAGCAGCTACATGTTTTAGCAGTAGATACCAAGTATCTGTCCTGTGATCTTTTAACTTTGTAACTTTGTTATTTTATTATTATCTGGCAATTCTCTGCATACCACAGTTTATATCAAATTAAAACAGGCTGTACATGTAGTTATTTCAAGATTTTATGGGAGGTGATGTGTTAAATTTCTCCTGTTTATTTTAGATCCAGTAACAATCTGTTTTTAGCCCTGTTAGAAAACAGGACCGAGGTTTGCTTTTTATGCAAGTCAAACTTTTCGACAGTAGATTATTGTATTTTTTTGGTTTTTAACATCTCTTGTGCAAAAAAAAAAGGTTCGCCTAGTGTTCAACACTAGAGGGCAGCAGCCACCCACTGTGGCACTGGCTTCAGCAACCTGTATTCAATTAGGAAGCTGGCTTTGTTTAGGGCTCAGCACTGGCTGCAATGAGCCTGCTGTAAATCAAACCCAATTTGTAAGTTGTCAGCAGAGCAGCCCCATTCTGGCAACCAAAGTCTGCCCCCCAAGCCAAAAACCTGCCCAATAAAAAGGGAAGTCGAGGCCCTCAAATCAGGCCATAATGCTGGTGGGGTTCTCTGGGCAGACTGCTGCAGCACCAGAAATGAGTTCCACAGGGACGCTCCCACAGGCCCATTTGCCATTTGTGTGAGATCTGCATGTTAATCATCCACTGTAGCTGAGCACTGAGCTCTCAAAGTCCCGTTCCTGGTCCTGGTGAGGGAGAGGCAAGCTCGGCAGCATGGCTCCCTTATTATCCGAAGGATTATTGTGATATTTTTACAGCAGAGTTAAGGAGTGCTGTGGTTTGTCTCTGAAAAAAAGTAAACACAGGGAAATTATTTGGTTGGACATCCTGGGTGTTTATAAAGTGAGGTTCATGAGGGCCATCCACATAATGGGTGTTCCTCAATATGTGTATCTGACCATACTTGTGTTCTCATGTTTCCGTATTACATCATCTTCCATTGCCGATTCCAATACTTTTTCAATATGCATACCTGACCGTACTTGTGTTCTCCTGTACCCGCTTTACGTCATCTTCCATTGTCAAAGACCAGTTCCAATACTAAGAACACAAGTACACGAAGATGGTAGAAATCCTTGTATATTGGTCTTGTTCTGCCCCAAATATCAAAGATACATCAGTTGTGCCTTGCTGGTTGGAGATTTGAACCAGCACTCTTTCAATTGCAAGTGCACTTCCCTAACCATTAAGCCACCACTGCCCACATAGATTTGGGATTTCATAGGGTCATTCTCACATGCAATTTAATGACATAACACATAAGGCACTGCTGAGATTCAAACTCAGGATCTCCTGTTTCCTAAACAGGCACTTTAACCATCTAAGCCACAGCGCCTCAATGAACGAGACCAATCCCATGATTCATTGCACCCCAAGTTTGTTCTTGGAAGGCGAATTAGCAAGACCGGTCTTGCCAAGACCAAAAGTATGATCTTTGCGCTCTTGGTACTGATATTGGTATGCACCCGAGTTTCATGAGGGCCATCCACATAATGGGTGTTCCTCAATATGTGTATCTGACCATACTTGTGTTCTCATGTTTCCGTATTACATCATCTTCCATTGCCGATTCCAATACTCAAGAACAGAAGTAAAAGGACGGTAAAAATCCCCAGATTTCATTCTTGCCCTGCCCCAAATATCAAGGATACATTGGTTCCATCCTCACCAAATGAGACCAATCCCATGATTCATTGTGTCCCAAGTTAGCAAGACCGATCTTGCCAAGTTCACAAGTATGATCTTTGCATTCTTGGTATTGAGAAACATCCATTGTGTCAGGCCCCATTGCTCGTTAGGGAACAAGGAACAGTAATTAGCTGCAGCTTGCAGAAAACAACCATCTTAGCTCCCAGTCTCATTCCTGGTGTTTGCAGATGAAGAACTCCTCTACACTGTGCCTCATCTAAGCCACCGTGTGACACCGGGCCCCCCAGGTCCGCCCGGGCCCCCCGGACCCCCAGGTAGGAAGGATCCGAATGACCACAAATCTTAAGGATTTTCCCATGACTTTTTGAGCTGATGCACATTAAAGATGAGGACACATGACTGGTCATGTGACACACTAACCTTACCAGCAGCAGGTGGAAGTGGCTGAAGCAGAGAGCTGATTTTGTGAATTGAGTTGTTTGTGTGCTGTTTCCACAGGGCCAGCAGGGCCGGCGGGAGACCCAGGACTACCTGGGCGACATGTAAGTATGGGTTGGAGTAGCGTGTCTGCTGGAATGCCTGAATATGACAGTGTAAGGGCTAGCTGAATACAAACCTGGTCCCATGGTATGTTCCAGGCGGAGGGAGGCCTCGTCGGAAAAACTGGAGATCTAGGACCTAAAGGAGATCCTGGCGAAAAGGTGAGGAGCTAACGTGTATGAAAGAATGTTGCGTCTTCATCTCAGGTTATTCACCTGGTTTGAACGTGATGACTAATATCCACTATTTAAACTAGTGTTGAACACAATATTAATATTCATTATTACGCTGGACACTTTGAAATTCTTGAATTAAAAAATATGTTCCATCCACCTGAGCCTGGAGCTGAAAAAATAAACATTATATGTAATACAGTACTGTCAAAGTCTTAAACATTTTAAAACAAAACATTTAAACCTACCTAGGGAGTAAGTGTATATTTACTCAGGAAAAAACATAATTTATCATTAGAATGTATGCAAATGATCAGTAACATGATAAAAAATAATAGTTAAAAAAAAACAATTTCTTCTGTTCTCCAGAAAGTTACTGATATCTTGTTGGATGGCTGGATGAACACAACTTCAGATCCCAAACCTCTCCTCAGGGGCACCTCAGCCATTCCATGTGTTCATTAAATACAGCTTGCACCAACAACTCATTTAATTAACTTAATTAGTTAAATAATTTGATGAGCTATTGGTTAGCCAAAAAGGAGTGCAAGCCATCGACTCAACAAATACATACAGGTATATGGCTACATACGATGCAAATACACGGGGAAGGGTTATGGAGAGGTTATGAAATGGCTGAGCTGATACACTTTGACAGACGTAATATTGTAGTTTTACACCAACAGAGAATTTAAATATAAACATAATTAATAGATAATTTAAACATAATTTTATTTGGCAGCTTAAGACTCTTCCACAGATACAATCCTGAGCTCAAAACAGCATTTACTTAATGACAGTATGTGAAGACACAGCAAGTACAGGATACATAATGCTGGGAAAAGTAGGAATTATACATTTATTGATTATGAACATCTGTTACGAAAATGTGATAAAAGTTTGGTTCACAGTGATGCTTGTGTATCACTGTTGATTTACTAATCATGATAAGATAAAAAGCTTCAAACTGATACTGAGCATTACGTATGATACACTGTTACAATTCTTAAGGACTGTAACCCTCAATGTTCATGAAATTGTTTGTTGGACGACTGATTGATTCTTTCACGATACAGAAAATTTGGATGTGTACACAGAAACACACTGTTTATTTAAATAGTAGGAAACAAGCGGTTTCACAATTAACTGTGTTTTTCTTATTATTTTGCTCCTACTTTCTGCTTATACTGTTTGCACTGAGTCATCGTTGTTATTGAGTACTGTTGTGCATTGTTTTTTCCCCTTAGTATTTATTGTCAGTGTTTATTGTTTGGCTGTTCTTTGTTCTAGCTGTATGATGATCTGAAGAATCGCAGTGTCGTTTCTTGTGTGTGAAATGACGATGAAGCGACTTGACTTGAGTTGAGCTTAAGTGCCGAGACAGTCCTCAAACACTGTCGGCTGCTCCGTCGCTGAGGGCAGGCAGGGGGTTGAGGGGGAGGTGGGGAGGCCATTGTGGCCTTATTAACCGGAATGTTTTTGGTTCAAGTCCACAGAGAGGGTCATGTTGCTATGAAGATGCTTCACTTGAACTGTGCCAGTGAACCACCACTGCTCCCCCCCCCCCATATAAATGGGTTAATATGCAAGTTGCTTTGGATAAAAGCGTCAAATGAGGAAATCAGACGTAGCATGAGCACAGGCTGAGCCAATACAGGCAAGAGATCTGGGAATGCCAACATATCAAACAGTGCTATTTTCGTTTTGTCCAATGGGGGCGCTTGTGAGCTGCAAAAGGGGTTGGTGGGGTGGGGATTGAAATGGAGGGGTAACAGATAGTCACTGAATTAATGCTAATTAAAATGTCCTCAAGACCTGTCAGATGGCTATTTTATCGTACAGCTCAGAAAATGTTTATGGTCATAATCGGCTAATCTGAAATGTGTTTGCCGCACTAAATTTATTTAATGCATGAGGAAAAAGACTTGCCAACAGGCTTACGTTAGACAGTTAACGAGGAAAAGGCCATAAAACCTGTGTACTCAGGAGCACGTGCGCATACACACACACACACACACAAGGAATCCTGCCACAGCCAGTTAGAATGATCCCCGAATACAAGTCTGCGTATCTGGAGACCCTCAGCACACGTGTATTCGCGTAGGGGCTCTGATTTGCGCGTCACTGTGCTCCTCCACTGGCTCGTCCTTTTCTGCGCGACCTCCTGCTCTGCGGGTGTCATGGCCGCCGATGGCTCCACACGCCACTCCGCAGCCCACGCTCAGCCTCACACCTGCTGCTTCCTGTCCCCCTCCTTCTATTACAGTCTTAAAAAGTTTATTAAAAAAAAGTTCAGCCTCTCGGAACGAATGCCCCCCCGGTCAGGGTATTGTAGCAGGCCTGTCAGTCAGCCGGCTAGTTCATTAGTCACGCCTTGTCAAGGCGGGTCTGCAGGGTGCCCATCGACGAGCACTCGCACAGTCAGGGCACGGTGTCCGGTTTGCTACAAAAACACAGGCCTCTTTGTCATGACATTTGTGTTGGCCAGTGCTGTGTGTCTGTCTGTCTGTCTGTGTCTGTCTATGTGTGTGTGTCTCTGTATGCACTGTAATGTTGGCTTTCTTCTCCCCTCAGGGACCTCCTGGATTCGCAGGACCGCATGGCCTTCCAGTGAGTCACGGGCCTTCAAACTGCACAACCACTGCGGTCTGATTCTGCACACTGCACATGCTAACATACAGTATATTCTCCCAGATCAAAACATATATACAGTACCTACAGAAAGTCTTGGGATGTTTGCTTAATTCAGTAAAATGATTGCTAATTTATTGGTTTTATGACAAAAATCATTACTTCATTCACTTGTTTGCAAAACAAGATATATACAGCATCATGTTACAAACAACCAGTAGTTTTAAGTAAAACATTAATTTCAAGTAGTAATAAACTGAAACCCAAATTACAGTTCTAAAAGAGCCGTTTGAGTTAAAAAGTTTCATTGGGTGCTTTTTAATTAGTAACACCTTTGCAATAACATAAAACACCAAATATTTGTGTTTAGTATCCCTGTGGGAGCCAATGACTAGGATTGTAATTAATATCAAAATGGCAAGAAAAGAACTGAATGAGTCAGTCAAAAACATTATGACACTTAATAAAAAGAAAATATCTGTGCAGATTTTGTCATGAAAACAATAACTTTGCCAAATTTTTACTGAATTAAGCAAGTGTCCCAATACTTTCTGAGCTGTGTGTGTGTGTATATATGTATGTATATATGTATGTATATATATATATATATATATATATATATA